CACCTCACGCTAGGGCGGGCTTTAACTTCTTTGGTAGCAGACCAGCACTCGGCTCCGCACAAGGCTACTGGTCTAACCACAGTGCAACAGGTCTTCGATATGAGCCGCCGTGATATTGTCTTGTCACACAAAATTCCAGTCATCGGGCTCCATTTTGCCCATGCTGCAGCGTGACATGCGAGTCCACCTTTAAAACTGCCATCGAAACAATGCCATCCAACATACTTGGAGGTTCCTGAATGTATGAGTTAGATTCTGCCGATCTTGATGGATTCAGACTCTTTGAGTCGATCGTCAAGTGCTTGGTTTTCTCTATGTTGACCTGAGCTAAACTCTTCCAGCGTTCAGACCAGACTTGCACCTGTTGCTCAAGTTCGCACCTTACTTCACTGGCGAACGCCATAAAATCTGTGTAGAGAAGAGTAGGGACTCGGACTCCGAAGATATCGTGCGATTGCATCTATAACGGCAACGAACAGAACTGGGAAGAGCGCGTAGCTTTGATGTACACCGACCGGAATGGAATATTCCTGCGAAGTACCTACTGGTGTTTAACACATTGCGTACCGCGTGCTGCACATGGTGAAGCACTCTTAGTGTGAACTCATTTAGCATTGTTAGATGACTGGAAAGAGAAGGTATATTCCTGAAGACGTCAGGGACAAAATATGTGTGGGGAAAATTGCGAGATTGAATAATAGCTATGTTGAGCATTTTTCGAGTAATGCCCCATATATTACTTTTTTAATTAACTCTCTTTTACCAATAAAACCGAAATCCTGCTTAGTATACGACGAAAAATTGTAAAATGGTGTGAGTGAACAGCTTCTAAGCACATTGCGTCACTTTTTCAACTCCTCTTAATTTTATCAAGCTTTTTTGGCTAGTTTCGCGTTTTTCGGCTTTACACTTGTATCACGTAACAATATTGAATACCCTTTAGCATACGTATACTTACAAATGTGATGCATAATACTATGTGTGTGCAATATTTTTATGTTATATGTATAAGATAAAAATCTTATGTTTTTATACTCGGCGCGCCAGAAATCGCGTCGCGCAAATACACTGCGGTACGCAATGGGTTAAACGCGGCTCTTCCAGCTGGAGTACAGGTGCGCGCCCACAAAGCTCTTCGGGAACGCCGTGTTGCCGAAAAGCGTGCCACATAACTTCACCCGGGACACGAGAATGTCTTCTCCAGGTGCTATATGCAGTGGCTTTTGCTTCTCACGATGTCTATCTAGCAGAGGACGTGTGGCATGTATGGCGTCGATGGCGCTACAGCCTATCACAGAGTCGCAACGACTGATGAAAAGCTAAACGATTTGAGTTCGAAAATCTTCATAAGTGACAGCAGACGAATTGGACGGTAGTTCGAGCAATCCTCAGGGCTTCTCCTTCTTTCGAACTGGATCGTCGTGCTCTTTTTCCAGTCCTTGAGTGTCTTCTTCATAACAATGAGCTCATTGAATCCCAACCTCTCTGCAGGGTACCAGCAGCGTGACTTTCACAAGTCGGCTGCCACTTCGTCAGTCCTGTTGTTGCTTGACTTCATCTTTTTGAGGCCGCTTCGTCTCTCTTGTGGTTATCTTCTGGAAGGGACCTTATAACGGTGAGACGGAAGGGACGGCCGAGTGTGTATGATCCATGGTCGAAATATCCTTAGAGAAATCGCGACGTCCCTCTTTCTCGGTCCAACAAGAGGCGGCTACTGTCGTGGTTGACGTCAGGAAATTCCTCCGCATCTTCGGTCAGATGGCGGACCTTGGCAAATCGGCGAGGTGTCGATCTTCGCGTTAGTCCAGTTCCTTACCAACACCTTCGAAATGGGCGGCTTTCACAGCAGCCTTCTTCGCCGCGCTCATGGCTTTCTGTTATTTCCGCCATCCGTCAGCTGACTTTCGTCATTAAACGCGTGCTAACGCCCCTTCGTCTCGCGAACCGTTTCTTTGACGCTGTCGGTTCAGAACCACGGCTGCTTATCAATTTCACGCCTTCCAGACTTCGTAATGCCAAGTGCGTTTGGAAAGAGCCGCCTCATGTATCATTTGGGAGCACCTGACAGTCGTGATGGTGATCGGAAGTTGAATACAAAACATTATAGTTTCCTTCTGTTCTTCAACTACCAATTATCCACCATTTAGTTATCTCGCAACCTTACTGCTCGACCAGTTTGGACCCGGGCGGATCTCCAACCTGCAGATTGGTGGGCGATGCTGCAAGGCAACTATTTCGTACGGCACAGTCTTCGCATCTGTAACGAGCCCTTGGTCGCGGTGTCTAACAAGGCAAAGTCGATCTGTGTTCTAATACTCCCGCTGTAGAGGCTGCTGAGGTGGGAATCACGCTTAGGGAACTTCGTATTCACGACGACTAGGTTATAGGTTTCCGGATAGTCGAGGATTCGCTCGCCAACGGCGTTGCGTGATTACGAACCCATGACCGAAACGACACCTGTGACCGTCCTTCGTAGAGCCTACGTGCCCATTTCGCTCACCAGCGACAATAACGACGTCTTCTGGCAGTATCTCAACTGTCTTCTCCTCAAGCAGGGACCAGACGTCCTCGGATCGCTCGCTACATCCCGTGGGGCATTCGCAATAGCAATCTCCATCAAGCGCTCATCAAAGGGTTCTACGCTTGCTAACGAGTCCCAAAGACGTGGAAAGACAGTACCTGTCGTTCCGTTGGTGATCTTTGTCACATAGAAGGGCTTTAACGCCTCGACCAATACCTCTTAACTTGCAATACCATCTTGTTTCCTGCACTGCACAGAGATCTATTCGTCTGCGCTCCAGTCCCTCTGCAAGCTCAAATGAGAATCCATCACCAGGCGTTCAACGTTGCCAGGCAAACTTACCTTGCGTTGCGCGAAATTTGAACTGCATAGTTCAAATGTCGCGCAACGCAAGGTAAGTCATAGGCATTCATAGGCATAAGTCATTGGCATGTGCGCCGTGTCCCGCGAACGCCTCAGCATTAATTAGGATTTCATATGAGGTATGGCGTAGTTGAACATGGGCGATGTGACATGGGTGCTCGTAGGCCGACCCTACACCAAGGCCTATTACTACTTTTGAATGTCCGCCTCAGCTCGTGAGCGGGCAGTTACCAGTGCCATCACACACCACCTACCAAGCTCCGCTCAGTTGTGAGATACGACCCATGCAGGTTAAAGTCCAAACTGGCAGGTTATGGGTTGGGGAATAAAAAATCGAGGAAAGCCATCCCGCATGACGAGTGAGGCAATAACCCGCCAGCTTGGACTCTAGCCTGCCAGATTGGATCATTCTTCCAAATTTGGTCGGAGCTTCTGTGGAGTAGCCAGGGATCCTTGCAGGGGGGGGGGAGCAGCTACCTGTAACAATTTAAATAGGCGAAAACTCCGAGAAAACCTTAAAGTCTCACAAAAGACGCAAAAGTGGTCATGGCTGAGGAGGCGGCCTCAGTGTGCCAATGTATAAATGTGTAATCAATGGGTACATCCGCAATACCTTCATAGGGCGGAATGTGTCTGTGTCGACATAGGAATCCTTTCAGTTGCGCGAGAAAGCAAAAGTGCAAGAGTCACAGAAGCAGAACTTACAGAACAAATTTGGAAAACCACGACAGAGCAGCAAAGAAGGCGATAGTGTCGGGGCAGGGCTTAGCAGTATCTAGTTGGGTATACTTTTTTAAATACTCGACGTAGGGGATGTGTTCGATTTGATTTGAGAGGCCCGGTTTGTTTTGAAATGTGTCTGGTTCTGCTGGAGAAGTGTCTGCTTCGGAATGAAGTGCCCGATTTGCTTTGATAGTGTCCGATCACGATCTTTTGGACCAAATTCACTATGTTTCACATTAAGCTCGCGACCCAAATCAAACTTAACACACCCTTTATTTACATCGCACACTTTAGTTAAGCACATCATACTAGGCCTTAGTGCAGGCATGCAGGCCCTGACAGCCACCCACATAGTCTCGGTCATAATTTTTTGAGATTTGTTTGAGAACTTTTGCGTCTGTGGTTTTTTTTTCTGCACTTTTACTACTTCGCACATACATACCCACCGAAAAGGATACCGACACACAGGCAACTCCGCCCGCATTTCAAAGAATTTCCCCTGCAATTTCGACCTTTTACCGCTTTCCCAGTATAGCGTTTGGCATCCACCCTTCACACAACGAATGCACTCACGAACTTACATTTCGCCTTTCCACACCATATTGCGAGTTCTCACAAAAGTTCGATCTTCTTCCAAAATTTCCGGCTTTCCAGGCTGCAACAGCAGGCTCCGTTCACTATGGGAATCTGTGCCCACTTCGCTGTAGCCCCGCCCATTTTCGATCCATGACTCGGAGAACAGGCTGAAGTCTCCACTGGCCGGCAAGAGTTCCGCTTGTAGCTTAGACCAAAAAGCCGAGTAAAGTCTCTCCCGAGCAGCGAGCGAGACTCTGACCCGCTAAATAAGACCCCAGGTAAGAGCATTCTTCAAAGTAAGCGGAACTTCTGCGAGGTGGGCGGAGCAGCTCCCACAGCTTGAAAGGTCGTTAATTTCAGAAGAGCAAATTCTGCAAAAACTCGATAAAGAATGCGTGGACAAAACGGCCGATCATATTGTGTCAGTACATGAATGCGTGTCTATGGTAGACCATTGTGGGAAAAGTGGATACAAAAAGCATGACGATGCAAAAGTCTTGTGAAAGTTCTAAATTTGCAACGAAATCCTCCAGAAGGGAGCAGAATCGCCTGTGTAGATAGATCAGTCCAATTCGGTGAGGGTTATGTATTAAATAGCGAAGGAGCAAAATATCACAGAAGCGGAGGTAATCAAAAAAGATTCCTCAAATTAGGGCAGCGCTAAAAGCGAGTGTAGCTGTCCGGCGTGAGCTTGCAGTAGTGTCTAGTGTGATCCGGGCTGAATATCAGATGCAAAAAAAGTGCAGTAAGACTTGAAAAATAGTGATTTTGTCTTGGTGCAAATATTCATTCAGCTGATCTCATGCACATGGATAATCTATAGCGTGAAACACTCCAAGGTCTGTTGAACACCACTGGTTCCGACAGAATAAGGACTCAATCGTTTAGTTGGTGATGTAAAAGTATTAAACTGCACCTCAATTGCCACATGAGCAAACTGTCCACACACAAATCCGAGCTTGAACGGCGCACCACTTTCGTTGAATACAACCGACACAAAATTGTTGCCGATCAACTTCTTTTTCATATGACAGTTAGGATCGCTCTCCGAGTTCGGCATCAGCGTCGCCACGAGAAATGTCTAAAAGCTTTGGGATATGCTATGCGATAGTTTTTTGCAGTGATGATGTTTCTTACGAAACGTACAATTTTGCTCAACTCGTCCTGGTACTCGTAGGTGTAAGTACCATGTTTTCCAGGTAGGAGACCGCCAGGATGTTTGTCAAGAGGAATCGGAGAGCCCAGTAACCTCAAAATTAAAAAATAAAGAAATTCTAGAAAATATTTGCGCTCAGAAGGGACAATTTCATCCGTCCAACACCATTTCGCCAAGCTGTCTGCTGTCGAAGCAACTTTCCCAGAACAATTGACTAAAGTGGTCAGAATAGCGGATATTAGCCAAGTTACAGAAACAGATTTGCTCGGAGACAGACTCCGCATTTGACCGCTAGGTCCTTTGTCTATCAATAGTTAGTCCAATCCGCAGACTCAGAGGCTGCCCCACTTCGCGACTGCACAGAGGGTGACGAGGATCTGCAGCCATTGCCAGTTCAATTTCTGCCACCAACTCCGTTAATCCACCCACTTGCAGACAGGGTGCAGCATAGTGATGTGTGAAATGGCGATACCAGTACGACCCGCGCCCCCCAGGAAAGGGATCCCCTCCCCCTTTTCCGGCTCCAGTTGCTTGCTCTGACGAGAAGGATCAGATAAGTAACGACTCGCAAGCGTTGGTGGCCGCGCTGTGATTCCATGGCAAATTAGCGGTGGAGCAGATCTGGTGGCTTTTTGGAAATCGCGGGGCTTTTTCTAGGTGTGAGACTTTTGAGAAAGAAGGCGGCATGTTGAAGCAAGGTTTCTACTGTTGCATTTTCTAAGTAATCGCAGTATGAATCTTTCCCCGTCTGGGAAATATTTTGGATGGGTAATGGACGCGTTAGTGGTAAATCGCGAGCAGGTTGCTATGCTTTAGATGAAAACAACTTCTTTCAACCGCAATCGCTTGCAAAACTAAGAACACTAGAATACCCAATAGTTCCTATTTCCAAGGAGCTCTCAGTTTTTGATGAAGACCGGCTAGTTTAGAAGATGTTTCAGAGGGTCACCCCTGAACGACATTCTGAGCCAGTTGAAACCTCGATCCCTCCTTGCCATTGTAAGGCTACTCTTTTGGGGGCTTGAATAAGGATTCTCTTTTGGGAATTCAATAAGGATACTCTTTTGGGAACTTCGAAACACATATTCCTGTTGAACTGAGTCAAAGCACAATTTGTTTATCCTCGATTGAACTTGATTCGAGTGGTCCAAATGTGCGCCGCGCATTACCACGCAGAGGTGGTGGAAAGGTGTAACTTCTGATTTTAGGTGTTTTCTTTGTCCATGCAAGCAGATGTTTGTTAAGGGTTTGGAAAGATCGATCCGCACGAATCTGTTTGAGATGTATTATTCAGTCATCTACGTAAGGTACGAGTTCATGCTAACTATTGATATTGCTATTCAATTGTTCAATATTTTGTAGTCTCCCTTACATTCGTTCGGGCTTTGCAGCTTTCCGCCCGCTCCTTCAGACTTAGTGATATTAATTTTGTTTTGTTTGGGCTCACCATCCCTACGTTTGCGACCCCTCCCCCTCCCCGGCGGTCAAATACGACCTTCGGGCTTCTGTGGGTTTCACACAACGATGCTGTACCTGCCTGCAGATGCCTCCTTTACAGATAACGCAAAGGCGCTCAGGTGTCCAAAGTAGCGGCGGGCATAAATCTGAACTGGGTGTCCAGTATTGCCGACCGTGGTGGATCATGAGAACTCTGTTCTCCATTGTTACTTTCTTCCACTGAAAGCGCATAGAGTCAAAAGCAGTTCATCTGGCAAGGTAAGGCGCGTTTAACTTCGGAATGGTAAAATTGCACTGCTGCAATAGCTCATCGCATAGTCTTCCCCAGATCCAAGTTCGCACAAGTCATACCCGAAGGCTATGCACAGTTCTGGGAGTGTTGCACTCGAAGACTATTTACAGCCACGAAATCCGTCTCTTCACCGAGTTTTTCATTATATTTTTCACCGCTTAATGATATTTAGCCGAATGACGCGAAGAAAGAATCAGTGAGCCCGAATATCGCTTCAAGTTCATGAAAAGAGCATTTCGTGGAACTCGGACAATTAGGCTACCAGGGTCCTCATTTGAGGTGTTCTCAATGATTTTTTTGCTTTTTTCATCTTGGAGAATGATCAGCGATTGTAGGTCCGCTACTTAGCGCCATTAACCATGTGCAGTCGCAAGGTATGGTAAAATTCTAACTGAGAAAGCGAAACCACTGAAAGTCAAGGCAGTGTTCATTGCTGTCACGAAGCAGGCGATAGCTCAACTCCTAGTTGTGCACGTAATCGTATAGCATCTGAATGAAATGCCACTTTGACTCCCACCATTTCGTTGGAGACAGATGCGTTACAAAGCCAGCTCACAGAACGAACGTGGTACGCGACGAAGCATATCCATACCATGAAGAGAGCACAACATGTGCATCACCCACACTGCTCTTTCTCTCTCTGTTAGGAAATATTATGTATGCGAAGTGAAACATATCCACCCACTTCAAAAAGCGCGCGTATCGTTCAGATCCATGAACATTAGCCAGAATTTGAGCTTCAGTCTCCTGTTGTCGTGTTACGTATAAAACACCAACCGCATGGTATTCGGTACCAGGAATCTGAAGGAAGTTCTCAAGATGACCGAACAAGTTTGGAACATTATAACCACTAACTCGGTCCAAATTTCTAAGCGAACGCGATAAGACTTCATCGTCCGGATTCCTTCCCAGACGGATAGCACCTGCTTGACTGGCGACAGGTAGCAAAAGACTGGCGCCTGGGCGTTGGAACGAAGATGCTCAAAAGTACTATAATTTTTATATAAAATCAAGAAAAGGTGATCAGTCTACTTTGTTCAAAATTTTCAGGCCACTCCTCGAAGGATCGCATCAGCCAGCCGCTCTTTCCGTACATATGACGTACTATTAGCTGTGTCCAGTACACACCAGGAACTAGAAACAGCAACTCTTAGCAACATTGTTTGTATTTTTCATACGCCTTAACAGGTTTGTTGGTAAGGAAACATTTTTTATCCGATGGTTTCGCCCAAATTGTCGGCGACAGGGCGTCAGTATTTCGAAAGCACAGGGTGGTCGAAAGAGGGGCCTTGCAAGAAGCCTTAGCCAAACGGTTCAAAAAAAAATCATTTTCCCAACCGTCTCATGTCCATGTACAATGTAATTTCGTTGAAGCGTCGGACAAACATTTCCATGCCAACAGATCTTCTACGGCATAAAAAAACAACAAAAAACAGTAACGTAGTACTACTCATTAATAGAATTATATTTAGAAATTAGTTGTGCTTTTCGGAAGAGCAGGAAAGAATTTATTCATTGTGTAGAGCTCCGATTGATTCGTCGTTTTCGAAAGCGTAAATGTACTCCAACTAAGCACTATTCAGACAGACCCCTATCAAATTTTGATTCCGAAACGTAAAGGAAATCCAGCGCGGTTCCATGTATTAAATGGAGCGACCCGCCGTTGCACAAAATCATTAATCAAGTACTGTTACAAGTAAGTAAAAAGTACTATAGGATAGACCCCCTAATAATATATGTAACTTTAAATTAGAGTACGCACAACTCGGCCATTCACTCTGGACAACTAATTTATATTAGGATGCCCCAAAAAACCGCGACGTCCTCATGCTTTTTCGAGCCGAATTAATTTCAGCAGCAAGCAGCACGAATCAGCATTACATATGCCATTGTCATCAGCAACTTTTGACCACCACGCAAAGAGAAGAATGCCTCACTTCTAGACGCTTCTCTTTAATGGAAGTCCTGTTCCTCTGCTCAAAAATGGCTACTGAGAGATTGGGGGAGATTTGAGATAGAATGAGCTGAGTCAGTGCTCTGCGATGGAGGCGCAGAGTTCCCCTCCAAGCTTTAGGATCTAGAGGTGTGTCATTTTCGAAACGCGTGGTCCTGAATTGTCGTGGTGTCGGAAAACTATGCTGAACTTCGGCGATATAACTGAAATTACCACCTCTGTTTCCAGCTAATTACGACAAGGCTGTTAGGAACATAGTATTTTACCTGCAGTAAACTCCACGAACACATCACTATATTCGGCATTATTCCACCTAGTGGATGACGGACTCTATGAATTCCTATCGAGATACCGAAAATTGGTACGTACATGATACCTTGCCGAATCATACCAGTTTCATTTTGAGTGACAATGTGTCACGGAGCGCTTGTACACGGCTTCCATCGGTTCAGGTTTAGCGCTGATCTGTACCCTTGGAATGCAGTTCCCATTAAGGATGCAAAGTGAGTGTAGCCTGCAGAAAGCTTTTTTAGGTTGCCAATAGCTTCTGTTATCGTACTTTTTTATTTTGGAAGGAAAAAGCGTGTCTGTTCTAGAAGGGGTACGACCTTTCATTCGCACGGTTGTGATACAGCGTGTACTGCCGCTGTATCCAACCAAATCAGTTTGTTGAGAAACAAATAAATTCAGATGCGCATACAGACCTTTCAAGGGGTCTTCTTTTCGCATTTGACCTCTTGTAGCGTACATGTCGTCCATTGTTTTCCGCTGTACATCGTCAGATATCAGCTGATTTGACAGGCGTCTTGTTTGTATTGCAGATTGATGCCGTCTTCGCTAGAATTACCTTGGAGATTATCTTAATCTTATCTTATCTGAATCTTATCAACTCCTCACTTTGATAACACAGGGGCAATAGGTTTAACGTCAGTTCGACTTTTGTTAATTTTAGCCTACTATGTAGCTTTCGAATCTAGGTAAGTCAAAAGAAACATGATAGAACGACTTTACCAATATTTCGGTCGTTGTCGCCTTCATCTGTGGAAGCTAAAGAGTAATGCTAACTTCCAACTTGAGATAGAACCCTTGACTGCGATGCTTTCATTCATGGACGATGCCTAAAATTTAGACCGGCGACGGACCTAACTTATTCTAAACAAAAATTGCTCGCTTATTCTAAGCAAAACACGACTGATTCCACGACGCAGCTTTTCTTCAACCCTACCACAACCCCTGCAATCGTAAACAATGCTATTTGTGTATTCAAAACAGTTCTCTGTCGTTTCAGCAGAATATCTCCCATATTCACCCTACCAGGGCACGCCATTGCGTTGTGACCATTTCCTGGAAAATACGACCCCCCCCCTAATTCCATCTTCATGTACGACCCCCCCCCACGTTACCTCTTCCCTAGATTTTTCCAACCTCCTACCACTTTGTCTATTCTTTCCCAAAAAAGTTTCTAGTTTTTTTACAAAATTTTGCTGCCGAGCGGGGGGGGGGTCGCAGTACCTACGTACGTCCCAAGCACGTGCAGCACTCTGGCGCTGGTGTAGCATACTGACAATACGTACGAGGAAGGGGCGATGGTAGGAGCTACGATCACCGCCCACAAGGGCCTCATGAATTTATAAACAAACAGAGGACTCACGATGTGAAAATTAAGGGTGCGGTGTACTTAGATACCCGGTGGGCGTGGCCAAAATAGGGCGAGGGCTTGACGTGGACGGATATAATTAGGCTTCAGCGCTTCTTCCTGAGCTTGGAGACGATAATTTCCTTCTTATTAAACAGCTGTGTGTTTCTACTGCTTGAACTAAGAAGTTCCGAGAGGAAGAATTAACTTAGATTGGAATTTATGCTTTTTGCAAAGGTATACATTAGGCAGAGGCGAAAAATTTGGTTATCAGGTCTTACGTATGATCATGAAATCAACATTAAGCCCCCCCCCCCCTTGAAGACAATAGGAACGTTTACCTTGTAAACGGGCTCCCGTCTAATCTCTATTGCAGCCACAACTTTGGAAACACCGGTCCATTTCGAAGCTTTGCTTCTGTGGCCAGCCCCACGGTATCTAAGTCACGTTGCCGACGATTAATAAAACAGATGAAAGTACATTCCCGGACTTTTCTGATCGTAGGAGCACATTTGCTTGCAATTGGGAAACCCTATCTAGAAGTTACACCTTTCAAACACCTGCGTGAAAGCCCCATGCATGGCGCATTGCATATGTGATGCCAATTGGCGCCCAATGGCCTATTACCTGATATGCTTGACGAAAACATGTGTTTCAGAAGCATACCCAAGTCTTCGAGCCAACTGGAGGTTCCCTGGCCTCGGAGGGTGGATTTTTCGGTGTCGTGTGGGCGGTGATTACAAAAATGATCACAACGGGGAATTTTTTCGAATAGTAGGTCTAGGAAGGAAATTAAAAACCTTGCTGGAAAGTAGAAATCTTCAAAGCTTCCGGCACGGTTCTTTTTTCTACGAAAGGTCGTGTGTGAAGCTTGCCATGGACGTCCAAAGCGTAGCGACTCACGGTTCGCAAAAATGATCACAGATGGATCACAAAGACGATCACAACGGGGAAAATCTCTGGAACCGGAACGTTTTCGAAATCGCTCAACTCAGGTGAGAAGAGCCAACCTAGCTCTACTCATTCGCACTTACCCCTCTCGATAGCTTCACTCTCAACGAACTTATGGGTGTTCAAATGAGGGGTACTTTTCACCTGCGCTTGAAATCGGCTCTCCAAACCGTAAAATAGCGCGCACCACTGCGCTTGTATGTGCGCGCGACGCCGAACAGCCAAAATTAGAAAGTAATCCATAGTTCCGGTTCCCAGCTGAGCGGTGAGTTTTTTCTTATCCATTTTAGTTAGTTTAGTTTTTCTTATCCATTTGTGAATTACTTTGTTTGTTTTTGTTGAGTTTGGTTTTGTTTTTGTTGAAGTTGTTTTTGTGTGAGGAAATTGCTCAGGATTCAATTTCTACGCGTTTCTTTTGCAATGGATTCTTTTCTAGAGTTGCGGATTAGTGGATTGGGATTTACCTAGACCAGATGAGGAGGGTTGGTGGGCGAAGTGTATTGAAGTTTTTTGTGAGGAAGGAGGAAAAAGTTTCAGCAATATTTTTTTTAGTTTTTGGCCTAGGGATAATTCGAAGTGCCTAGTTCTATTTATTGTCATCTACATAGTCTCTTTTGAGCTTCTTTTCACTTGTACCGTGTATCACCGCTCTCTCCACTTCAACATGGGGCCATGCGTTTACGACCCCCCCCCCCCCCTCGCGGGCCAAAAAGACCCCCCCCCGTTGTGATGATCACAAAGATGACGTGCCCTGCATCCTACAGTCTGATTGCCCATTTCACACATTTAACAAGGTCTCAGGTGGATCTGCTTTGGAATAATCTTCTGACACACAATGTAAAGGCGTTTCGCATCAGCGCCAACTGTAAGTACTATAGAGGGTACCACAGTTTGATTTTTTCCAAACTGGCGACTTTCGGCACCCTGTGCATCATGCTGTGCAGCAGTCAGATATTGTGACATCTTGCGTTGTCGCATAGTGCCGCAGAGCGCGTGCTATCATTAGATATAAGCGATTATCCGAGCATGACCAAGTGCCAGTGGAGCATGATTTCTGCACTGGGAAGCGAACAGGCAAGAAGTGTACTTGTTGCTGCGGATACTACAGGAGATTTTCGCTAGTTAAACAGGAATGGAACTACAGGTTCACAGCGTGGAAGAGAAGTTCTGAGTTTCCTCTGACGCTCCATAAGACCTATCCTTTGCGCCTTCTCCATTGTGAGGAATGTACTATTATCGCTACTGCTAGCGAACACCGATAGGGTTATTGTTGGTGTACCGCAAGCCCACGAAAACGCAAACGAGACATTTCCATTGCGCTCACACTTGATTCCTGACATCTCTCGGATATGTACCAGATCCAGTTTCGTGAAGGATGGAGCGAGTCTGAAAACTTGTGGCCATTCTGCCAGATACCTGAGTCGTATCCTCACGATTAATGAATTTTGTAGAAGCGAAATGCACTTCTCCGCTTCTCCAAACAAGGTAATGCGTCATTAAAGGTTGGTCGCAATCAGTGTAGAAGAAGGTGAAAGGGGATGAAATGCTCTGTGCGACAATATGCTGTCGATGATGTGCTCCTGGTTTCCCATGTGATGCACGCTTTAACGCAAACAAAGCAAAATCAGGTTCTTTTTCACTGCTGCTCAGGCGCACAAGTGTTTCTCTTTCGCAATCAACAAGACGTTGAATTTACACTGCACCGGACTACATCAGCCTCAACCCTTTCTCATATGAATAACTGATGATTCTGTTTACAAGTTTCCCTTCTGTCTTTTCATTGCCAGAACAGCTCTATGATCATGCTGCACATTTATTAGCGTCATCCCATTTCACAAGTGGCCGTAAGGTTTTTTTTAGAATAAAACAAAAGAGGAGAATAGATAGAAAAGTCAATACTTTTAGCTTTAGGATGAGTAAATCCCTCCTTCACCAGATAGACCCGCTCCAGTGCCCAGAAAGGTGCGCCTGGAGCCTGGGCGCCTACCTGACGTATCTTCGGATTTATACAACAAGTAGTGAAGCTAAGATATCCTTGATCTGTTGTTTGCCATTTCGTGCGAGCAAATGACAAAACATTGATAGCGTCTTGCGCGTCGATGCAGTACTCTCTAACTGAGATAGAACAGTTGTAATCGCATGGATTTATGACGGGCAATGGGGACGATTGAACTAGGTCTCAGTATTGTTTGCGTTCCAAGCACTGATCTACAATTACAGTTACTCGGGGTCTGGCACTATGACGAGCAACGGAGCCTTCTTGTAGTTGTGTGGTAGCATCCCATTTGTCGATTCTGAATGCCGCAGGAACAAGGCAACTATGCCCGACAGTGACGGATTTGTTCTCATTATAGAGCCGCTGAAGCCACAGTGTGGAATCCTTATGCTATCGAATGACCCCATTTGCGCCCACGTAAACATCTTCATGGTAGAACTCGGGCGGCTTCTGCATCGCATTCCATAGAAAATTGACAGATTGTGAGTTTTGCGGACTCGAGGTCCGAGACGCACCCATTATTTTCATCTAGGCCGGGAATGCGTTCAGCAGTTGTGAGTGACATCTCATGCTGAGAACAATTAAGCTGCTGGAGCTAAGAATCGGTATTGCGTTACTACTGCGTTTGTGCTTCTATAAGAAAATTAGGTACCAATGCGCCACCCTCTTGACCACCTCTCCTCAGTCACTCTCTCCTCAGTTTATCGGACATAACTCGGGCAGCAGTTGCAGCTGGGATGTCAGACTCGCGGGGAAGCTCGACAAGGGTCCAGGCTCTGTGATCAGATATTCAGTGCCTGACTTCATCCACCCGTTTTTCTTGTGCAGGATGAATGTTATGGGATCATCCACGACAACAAATTTTTCCTTTCTTCCTTGTACGGGCTCCTGAACCAGATCTTCCACCGTGTATTTCGAGAACACCCTTACACACAACTATGGTCCGGCGCAGGTCAAATTTGAGCAGCGCACTTTCCTTTTATGACGTCTGATTTGAAAAACCGGCGCCGATTTTCACCACTCGGGCTTCTCTTCAATTTCTCGAGAACTTCTTCAGAGGCTAGGTTCGCCAAATTTCACAGATACACAGCTTAAGGTACTAGCTTCCAAATGGTATAGTAGCCCGCTGCTCTATCCCCTTTGCTTTTCTGCCATTCCTCTATATGTGTCGGCCACTTTGAATGGGATGACCTAATATATTCTCACTCACCCTGAGCCAACGCCTGGCGAAGCAGGCAGCGTGCCGAAACCGGGCAGCCACACAGGAAGGAAGAGCACCTGGCGACAGCTAAGCGATCAGCTTTTGTGAACCTCTGATTTATAAGAGAAAAGTTGAGATTCGAGACAGGAATTCAGAATACAGTTACAGACAACATACATATCAACACCGACCCAAAGCGCAGTCGAACACTCCGCACTATTGGACTGATCTTGGCTTAGTTTGTTCTTCTGACACGTCAGAAGTACCAGATGATGGTAGAAAGTATTTTGTCGGGAACCTCATAAATTTGGAGCTCCGAGCCATCTTCTGACTTCTGAGTGACATATACGGTCAAAAGACCAGAATTAAAAAAGATCCCACTCAGGCTGAAGTTAAACAATAACTCCGCATCACGTCAAACGCTCCATAACGGACAACATAGAGATTTTCTTTCGCTAATGAAGACGACAACTTCAAAAATTATGCCTAATGAGCTCTACCATCTCAGGGTTACTCCTCAGTCAATGTGTGGAGAAATGCCAAGTGTGCGGTTCTCTGGTACCTGATCTGTGAAGCTGCTGACGGAATTCGACGGAGATTCAGCCACCGTTGTTTGCTCATTGCTCGCGAGAAAGACATCACCATCAATATCTGAATTGTGAAAAAATGCCAATCAACGATGTGATCCGCCAACTTAAAGGCAGTTGGCACGATGGTTTCCCACACGGCCTGAAATGCTAGTAGGTCGCTATGTAGTGGGGGAATGGCGAAAGGTCGGAGTGAAACGGTCAAAACCCGGCGAAGAAAAAGCTTCCGTTCTCAGTGACTTTAAAATCGATTTCGGACGAGTTTCCTGTGTGCATCTTGCCAGTGACCGCTACCGAAGATACGGCTGCATATGTGTACCTATATATGCATGAAGCATCACGGCCTCTTCATAGCAATCCTTCTGCTTCATAATTTGCTCAGCAAATGAATGAATACGAGCGTCAGAAACGGTCGTCCGTTTGTGGGCGGGCGGACGAGGAAAGCGTTGACGGAATGTTGTTGCTCAATAGGGCGTCGTAGGGGTGGGTACCTTCCTTGGAAAAGACGCCACGGAGCGCCTGTCCGAGGTCACGGAATTCTCTTAAGCCAGTCGTATAATTCCTACATTTGTATAGCGATTTATCGTACCAACTGCCTTTGATGTGTTGGTTTGTGAGCTTATAGCTTTAGTGGTATGATGATATGTCTTACTATTCGCAAAGTAGGGGAGAAGAAGGACTGATGTAAAAAACGAGTGGTAGCAGAATTGAGGAAGCTAAATATCGCGCACTAAGTTGTTTTTGTAGTAAGACCCCTACATGAGACACTCAACAACGGGTTGCGCAATCCAGTAACTCTGCCGGGTGGTAAGACTGGACCTAAAGATGGATCGCATGAGGGCGGAGAATAGGCAGCATAACTGAAGAATTGCAGTCAGTATGTGCTCTGACAAATCGAAGAATAAGGAAAAAGGCATCTCGATTCCAGGACTGGCTATTTTTTGCTTCTGCTATAGAGCTATTTCTGTAGGCATTTTTCGAGAAAAAAAGACCTCACACTATTATGCTCAGCTTGACGCGTTGCAGCCAGTAGTAAGTTTTAGAAAGAGGAGTTCGATCCTCGTATTGAATTATGCTTCTGCACTTGTCGACAGATGTTCAAACGACAAGTAATTCTCCATACCGTGCCTCTAATTCCTGATGGAACATTTGTCGCGGACCACATATTTATCGCATGATTCAGAAAAGTTCTTCTAAATCCAGAAGAGTTACAGGATTCAGTGTGATGAGCCGACTCAAATTATATAAGACCGACAGCGAAAGTTACGAAAATCGTGCACAGTAGAAAGAAGGAGTGCGAGCGCGCGTTCTCCTCGTTAATTTTTGAACAACTAAAGTGAGTACCGTCGTTGGTAAGAAAGTGCAAGTGGGTTCTCCTCAACAATTCAGAACTTTTGATATTTGGTCGGACCCGCTGCTCATCGCGTGATAGTTGCAACCTGCCCTCGAATCCTTCATTCCGTTATCCCTTTACTCTTTTACAATTTTGAGCACAATGTCAGTGATTCCCGAAACCGAAATCTTCAAACCATAATTTTCCACCACCAAAGCCACGAAGCGACGATGGCAGTCCTCAACATCAACAAGAGGCATCGGTCACTTTACCAGTGATGCACGTGAAAGAAAGAAATCACATCGCCGAAAGGAAGATGCACGCACCCAATGAATGAATAATGGATTAGATGAACGGAATGAATGAACTAAAACATAAATAAATAAATCAATAAATAAATAAATAAGTAAATGAATGATTGTTCATGAAGTAAGAAGGGAAAGGTTCCGATTCTAGTGGAATAATTGTTTACGAATAGACTGAATCTGGACACTCGTTACAAACCGAATTCAAAACTGCTAGATTTCTCATGGCAATCATGAACCGTCGAGTCAGCCCAAACGCAGTGTTGGCTTATTAGCAGTCTTCTAGGGATTAGCAGAGCTAATCGTCGCAGTCCAGTGGACAAGTTTTGGGTCCTTAGGTCCACTGGTGACACAACGGGGGTATGTTTTTTTGTGGGAGTTTTTGTTCACCATGGACACGGACTTGCTCGCCTTTTTATTAGTACGGCAAAACAATGGTGTGCTCTGGCCTAGCCGCGTCGGCGAAAACTGCAATGACTCTACCACAATGGGCTCGAAAATCGAAATTTACAGAGTAGGCATGCCCAAAAAGACTAACCTGGGAGACAATAAACGGGACTCTTACCCAACAAAATGTGCCCTCTGAGCGTCTCAGCAAGGCTTAGCATGCCAAGAGCCACTCCCGTTACAATTTTCATTCTCCTGAATGGCCGCACCAATGAGCAAATGATCACGATCGCATCGGTTGTTTTCAACCGCAACATGCCGCTGAACTCCTACAAAGGTAACCCACATTTTAAAGTTGTTGTGATGTCGTTTTGCGAATACTTGACTGATTTGACCAGCGTTTCTGGAAAATTTTATAAGTGCGCCCTCAGCACTGTCTAGAACTCTTTTTCATGGCACCTCGAGGTTTGCTTCGATACAAATTGTTTTTCCAAATCAAATTGCAAATCTCTCGCACTAATTGCTGACCAATGATTAGTCGTCTGCTATGCTAGACACTTGCTTGCTGAGGCGATGATAAACTTCCTATTTCGAGCGGTTCCGGCTGCTTCGTCCTATTTTGACTTCACTGTCGCAATATATACTTCGTTCTACTCTACCTCTACTTCGTTTTTTTGACAGCGACCAAATTATCGTGCCCACTGCCTTCAAACAAACCACTCTACTGGCGTGACGCTGTGAAGAACAGCCGACATGCCTCTACTGACAATGATCTTGATGGCTGAAATGCAGGTTGAGCGACAGTCAACAACAAAAGAAGGGATACACAAGAATAGTTCGCTGATAATTCTTGGAAAAAACTGAGATTCTTTCAATCATCTTTCAATGTTACGAAGGTAAGATGATGCGCTCCCTCAAAAAGACGCCTACTAGTGCAGTCGCAGTGAGAGTAGATAAAGCGAAGGAAGCGAGGAAAGCGGTGATTGCTTGATTCCCGGAATCGGTTACACGCACCAGTGGAGGTGCTAGTGTTCTCATGAACATAGGTGAGAAAAAGGCAGAAAAAGAAATGTAGATCAAGATTACTTACCAGTACTGAGAGGTGAAGTCTCTATTTTCTCACGATCTCTATAATGCTCAGCAAAGGTCTTTACAGTTATAATAGAGTCATTGACGACATAGTGCTCCTGAGTAACCTCTTTTATGTTCTCGGGAACCTGGAAAAAAAACCTAAAGCATTATAGAAGTGATTATTTCATGATCGCTTATTCCCGACTGACTGTTGCAGATTTTAGAATGAGCTGTACGCCTCAAAGACTACTCCCGCAATCAACCGACTCCTAGAAGCCCTTTAGTATACCAGATGGCGGATCCGCAATCAAAACAAATGTTTTATTTCCGCAATTCGGAAGCGCTGAGCATTCTTGCAAGATGAAACAAGAAGGCTCACGGCAATAGCACAGCTCTGGACCTATCTTCATAATTTTCTTCTCATTAGAAGTCTGTAGCGGCGGTGTGGGCTAGCTTTGCTACACTGATTTCGCCTATTGCAGCTCTGACCATTATCTCTCATTGGATCTATGTTATCACCCACTATATATAATTTGCTTCGTCTGTTGGTTTGTTTGTTTGTCTGTCCGGATATTCGATGAAGAAAGAACAAGAACAACTGGAGAACAACTTCGAGAAGTCGGGTCAGGGTGGGGATACGTAGCGCATGGGACAAGATGTAAAGAGCACACATGACCTATGCTAAGCCCCGCTCACAGTGGGCGGAGCATGCGCTGAAAGAGTGGCGCCGCTGAAAAAAATCATGACTCGCTTCCAGTGAAGCCCAGAGATGGGGAAAAAGTTGAATGAGTTCGCAAGAGGATGTCAGACCAATTAGCGGAGACATTCCCGAAACGGGCGGGTATACTTCAGATAGGCGGCGCTTCTTACGAGATTCGTTGACTCGGTTCTCGGAAGAGTTTAGAAAACGCGAAAAGGTTGATGTAGGAGATTAACACTTGAGGAGAGCTTGGCACGCCTGAGGTGTGCTGGGACCCGCCCACAGTGGGCGGAGCTCGCTCTCAATCATGGGGTGCCCATTTCAGCAATCTGTAGCTTGGTTCCAGAGCATTCCAAAGATCAGAGAAAAACGTATTAAGGTCAGCGAATCGCTGGTAAGGAATGTGGGGCACACACGTTGTGGGTGGAGCCCGACAACAGAAATTCTGTATAACGGTTCTAGAGCACTCAAGAGACAGAAACGGTAGATCAAGGTCAGCGAGTGGTCGCCGGTGAAGAATGTGGAGCACACCCGTTGTGAGGGAGATCGCTCCGAGGTGGTGTGAGCCAGACAAAATGGTCTGCAAAACGGTCCCACAGCACTCAAGAGACAGGAATGAATATAGATCAACGTCTGCAAAAGGCCGCGGGTAAGAAATGCGGGAAAGTGATAGTGGTCAGGAGGCATCACCGGTCGAGACACATCCGTTGTAGGCGGAGCATGCGGCTAGGTGGGCGGAGCCAAAATGAAGAATTTGTGGGAGATTTACAGAGCCCTTCAGACGCTGTAAAAAAAATCGGACTGCGTAAGCGAAGGGACACTAGTTTAGAGCGAGACACACCCTGCAGGTGAAGCGTACAGCGAAGTGGGTGAAGCGTACAGCGAAGTGGGCGGAGCCAAACGCAGAGATCTGCAAAATAGTTCCAGACAGATTCCAAACACCGGCAGAAGACGCGCAAAGATAGCAGGAGCTCCAGTACAAGAGCGAGATTTACACGCCCATTGCGTGCGGAGCCGGGCGGGCGAAGGTCAAAAACTCATGAATTGTCTGCAGAGTAGCATAGGCATCCAATCGCTTCGCTGACTGACGCCAGCGCGACTCTCTAATACGGCCAGACTTTCCAGAATTGCTTGGCTTTGTCGCGCCTGCCTGCTTCCGTATGTTTGAATGCTCAATCAATACTCGGCTTTTCTCTCATCTGGGCATTTGCAACACTGCTTACCACCATTTCATAGATGGTACTGGTTGAAAGTAGCCGGTATGACGTTATGGGTCAAGGACTGTTGACAACGTGTACATGTGAAAGAAAAACCGGATAATGGTTGAGTATCCAAACATGTCAAAAGAAGGTACGCGCTGCGAAGCCGGGCGTATCAAAGAAGAGGCACGCCGGCGTCAGCCGGCGAGCCGACTAGTAAAATAAAATCGTGTAACCAATAATATTCCCCAACTATCTTCGCTTTTGTCCATAATCATATCTACGTCGCAATATGTGTGCGCATTGGCGGAAAGAGCATCACAATTTTGAGCATACGGTAGCTGCGCGTCGCCAGCTACCGTATGCTCAAAATTGTGATGCTCTTTCCGCCATGTGTTTCAGAATGGCTAGTTGTGCGGCTCACATACTACTAGTGGAAAGGGCAGGTTGGCGAACACAAAAATAAAAAGGCAAAAAAAAACCAGCCCGAAACTCCTCATATAGCACCCCCATCCTGAACAGTGTTTCTGTGCAAGGCTGAAAAGGTTGTACTCGAAGGAGTTCTCACTAGATGGTGTCAGCTATTTCTCCTTATCACCTCAGTCTATCGCACTGTCATGCTATTCTCACTTTTGACTGCCTTCGGCGCTAATGAGTACCTATCTCGCCTCCACGGTCTGAATATTATTGTCTGTCGAAACGCCGTCAGACTTTGACTCATGAATGAAAGTTCGGTTTAGTGAAAACTGTACGATCGGGTAGCCTTCAAAACGAGTGGTGAACGTAGCGATACGAAGTGGTTGAAGCATTGCGTCAGTCACGAACGCCTCTACCTTCTTATCACTCATTTTAATGCCACAAAAGTGCTACTCCCTTGCGCATGCGAAATGAATTACATAGCGACAATGAAGGCATTCCAGGTGGTCGCGGGATAGGTTTCAAATGCAATCATGAAGTACTAAGAGGACCCGTCACAGCATGGGTTTTCTAGACTGTCTGACCGTCAGAGTTGCTCGGAAAACCATACCTTAGGATCTCCCCAGTCGTCCTCGATTCGCCTGATAAGAAAGAACGCAGTCATCGCTTGCAATATCTCTTCATGAACCTGCAAAAAATGTTTCTTTGATGAACGTGGTAGTCTGTAGATAACTGCTTGTTGAATGCATAACAATGAAGAATCTGAAAAATCACTCTGTCTGGACCGCGCTCTTCCCTGGACCCTGCTCCGTCCATAGGAGGGGGTGTCTCTGGCATCCCATTTCCGCCCAATGTAAATAATACTCCGGGAACCTGCAAAATATTTTGTGAAGCACTAATTAACAAAGCGATCTCGATAATATTGAGGTGTCCCAAAAGGTAATGACAATTTTCTGTTCGCATCCGATCATTCCGCAGCAATTTCCGAATTTAGTTGTGTTATGGAGGAACAAGTTTGTTTGCGCAGATATGTAATTGAATTTCAGACAGTTCTGCCATTGCTCTCTGGCCATTTGGAGGTTCCAAAAGCACAAATAATGGAAGCGCTAGCTCCCCCGTGAAATTGTAGAAGTTGAACCGAACAACTGATTCTGAACTGACTTATTCAAGGGAGAGCGCGTGGAGGTGGTGCCTACTGATTCTCTCTCGCTACCGCAGTACGGATCGATTGGACAACATTGTACGACAAAAAAATGTGACCCACCTTGGAAGCGCCGGGAGCTGAGTCCGTGCTAGAAATATCAGAATAGGTAACTGAAACCGACCAAGCCGCTAGAAAGGTCATGCAGTACATGTGGTAGGACGTTCTTAGAGTTTGGGGCACTGATGTTCTCTCTCGCAACGATATGGCTACCAGCAAGCCATCCCATATTCAGGTGCGAGTGAACGTGATGAAACCAATCATATTTCCCCACAACTGAACAAAGTTTACCTATTCGGGGATAATAAGGGCCACACGTTCGAAAACGATACAACTCCAAATCCTGAAGCGTGGTTGCAAACTTCTACCGCAACCGTTGTAGAGCCCTTACTTACCCATATTTGACTGCCATGTCCCCTAGTTCCTGAACAGCCATCATCTTGACAACAAACGCGCATTTTTCAAAAGCATTAAGATCGACTTGAATGCCTATCTCTGCACGGAACGGAAAAAACTCTTTTTATCCTTCTTTTCTCCGCTTCTAGAATCAAGTCTTCGATGATGACAGCACATATACTGCTCGTTGACACTGCTTTTTGATCAACAAACTTGACTTCAAACAAATTTGGGATTGCCGCAACTGTTGGGACACTCTGTGTCGACAACGTGTTTCAGAATGTTCTTTATCAAACCGACGCGTGAACCAAAGAATAGTGATCAGACATAACAGCGCTCGAAATTTTCAAGCGAAACTTCTTATGCGGCAACCTTTAGGCTGACCAAGTCATGCAAAGTTATGATACGTTTCCGCCATCAACTTACCGCGGTTCAGATTACCAGGAAGCTCAAGGTTTCAAAGTACACCATTGCATCAGCATAATTTATTAGGTTTGGACGACTAATTCTCACCCCCTCACCCTCTCTCGAAGAGCCTTCAATAACAGTGGGAAAGTGGACGGATTCCGAACGGATTCCAAACACCGGCACCTAAACAGGGCCAAAAGGTGACTACTAAGAACGTTAGTACACGCCGCGTTTTAATCGAAGCGGGAGTGACCATATAGTTTAAGATGACCTTATAATTACTTTTTCGCACCTCGGCATACTTGCCGGTGGGATACCCCAGATTAATTGCTTGCACGCTGACTGGTGACCTCTCACTGCCAGGCTCACACAAGATAGAATAACGAGGAATAAGTGTATAGATGTATGAAATAGAAATTTCCAAAGGGGTAAGTGTATGTATATAATATCGAATGGAGACAAATGCAAAATATTAGAGAGAACACAGTAAATCATGGAAACTGATGTAATGCGTGAAAAAAAACGCTATCCAGTATCGGTATTGCACGCAAACTCGCCTACGAGCGAATTACCACAAAGGATGGCCTCTGGCAGTTCGGCGCCTTTTTACCTACCACCTACTCACTCTATGAAGGTCACTTTATTGAGCACATAAGCAAGTGATCCGCGATAGGAGCTACACCTATTGTTGTGTTTGTCTTCTGCACTCACGTGATGTTTTCGAACTCCCAGTGGAACGCTTCATATTAGGACTTCTCCTGCCACTTACTTTCACAATAGGTCCTGACTAACAGCACTGCACAATCAGGAACCCCCACGCTCTACGTAGATACCCCGAACACCGTCACTATGCCGACTGCAGCACCGTCATTATGCATGTATTCCATACAGTTTCAGGTTTCCCCCAGCGTCTTTCGGCTATGAGCCTCCGACAGGTGCTTTCTACAGCACCATGCAGCCTCCTGCTCCTACGCTTTATATGTCCTCCACCTCATTTAAGACAGCTTTCGAAGGAACACCTGCGCCTGCATCGTCCTCAACAACGATATTTCAGTATCCAGGCCAGACACCCTCCCTTTTGTCTATGGCACCCCTTCCCTCTGTTTCTACTCCGTCGCCACCATCGACCAGTGCGAGTGCACTGATTCCGGAGCTTTCTTTTTCAGGTACTTCGGATGCAACGGCTCTACCTGCTGACCTAGAAGCCCCTCCTCGACGACGATACATCGGTAAAAGACAGGCGAGCAAAATTGAGAAGCATGATGTCCTAATTTATAGAATTCCAGGGACATCACGATCGTTCACCTTCTATGCGGCATTAGCGTCAAATCTACGCTACGTCGACGAGCGAGACTTACAGCTGCGTACACTGCTTGAAGCTTGCCTGATTTTAATAAACAAAGTATAAAGTATTGCAAACATTCCATATCTCGTTATTCTTATTGCAAACATTCCATATCTCGTTATTCTATCTTGTGTGGGCCTGGCATTGAGAGGTCACCAGTCAGCGTGCAAGCAATTAATCTGGGGGTATCCCACTGGCAAGTATGCCGAGGTGCGAAAAAGTAATTATAAGGTCATCCCAAACTATATGTGCACACCCAAGATAAGCACGTTACTGACCTGACGTCCATCACCGCTCGGTTGTCGAATCACACCTGAAGTGATATCGGGAAATGACAGATACGGTGACATGCGCACTGAGTTCTCAATGTGGCTAAACAGAACTATTCTAGCGATTGCATAAATATAGTAGAATGGACTTACTTCTGAATACGATAACGCATTTTGTCAGGAACACAACAAAACCAACGCATCATTACACGATGAATCGCTGCCACGATAAATGTGTTAAATTTATGTACGTTCGTGTAGGGGGCCAACGTATCAACAATGGAACGAAAATGCTTCTCCTACGAAGTTTGAGAAGTAAGGTGAAAGAAGCCGGACCGATATGATCTTGATTTTCGAAACTACTTTTTCGTAACATACCTGGAAAAACTTGTGAAAATCCGGGATTTCAGCAGAATCAGATAGTAACTCCATAATAGGTATGGCACGCACAGCATTAGACTGCATACGTGATAGAGCCTCAGTGAGTATCAAAGCTAAGCCAGCCATCGCCGTAGGTGCAAGTTGAATGGCCAAGTCACAAGCAATCACCGCCTATTAAACGTGTAACTTATCGAAAGCAAGGAATATGCTGTTTTCCTTGATAAAAAAGGTGAAAGGAAGATCGTCGACCCTATTCTACTATTACGCTCGTCTACAGTGACCGCGGATTACGTCACCTTCTCGCGTCACAAACGTGATTATTCAAATCGTACCTCCATGCTTTCTTGAGAGACACATTCGACTAAAATACGACAGATTTCAGAATTTCTTGACTCTTGCTGACAAGGATAATTCAACTGCAAAGCAAAACATAGGCAACACTCATATAATGCTAAAAGGAGAAAACACCATCTCCCTCACCAAAGTGGACAACACCGGTGGGAGGAACTTCGCAACCTGCCCTTTCAACTGCTTGCCCTCTAGCTGCTCCTGTTGAAGAAGCCTGTCTTCGGAGGAAACAAGCAGCGAAATCTCTCCACGCTCAGAGCGATGATAAATTTCTATAAGAGCTCTGGACAGCTCGTCAACCTGAAATTTACTCTCTGGAACATTGCCAGTATCCTCTTTTGAAATCCTCATCAGATACAGAACACTATTCAAATGGGAGGTGAGCATTGGCTGATAAGCATATATTTCAGGCAGATATGTTTTATTTGACACATTTGCTTGCTTGCTTGTCCAAAATTTTGATTTGATCTTCATAAATCGGTCTTCTTCGGGAAGCTGGCAATGAGAACTCATTCAACACGAATAAGTTTGTCGAAATAGAAACAAGGCTGATCTGACCTGCCTGTCAGTGGTGACTGGGTTGACTTCTGTAATACAATGCAGAGTACAATGAAAAGAGAGCAGCTGTTAAGCAACTACACCAGATGAACAACTTACCCTAGCGCAACTGTCAGTGTAAATAAAAGTCACTAGAAATGCAACGCACGTGGCTTTTGCATTTAATTCTTTGTGCCGACTGCAGGCACCGGCACCTTAATTGACAGATTTCGGTTCACTTCCTTTGCGATTCGTTCGTCGACGCAGTGTAATACCAGTGGTATCCCTAGAGTAGCAGAGAAAGTTTATGGTTAACGCGTTGTATAGCCATTCTCTTCCAAGATCGTCGCCGTTTTTCAGGTCGCCTCTACTGATACTCAAGCACAAGTTGCTGTCGTCGTCGGATAAGATTCCTTATTACGTTGACCTTCAGTATACTGGTGTGCACTTTAAGATGCAGAAGGATATTTCTTGACATCGGTGTTTTGTACCATTCTTTGATGCCAGATTCATCTGGGTCTCAATGCTGAGGAAGGGAAGGAAGCCGCGCTCGTCAGATTTCCCCCGTGAAACGTATGCTGGGATCATGAGTTCAAGTTCTGAAGCATCGTGTTCATCGCATCGGCGGTGCTAGTTAGAAAGCCATCGTCTATGTAGCGCTCGAAAAAATACAATTTCCTCGATAGAAGATCTTATCTCAGTGCGATATAAGTGATGGCTAGTAGCGGTGATAACCTTTACCCCATGGCGATTCCTCATTTCTGAGAATCGAACTGGAAGACGTTACACGTCGAAGTAGCCGCTAGTAGCTTTCATAACTCTTAGCCCACCAAAGGAATGTGTGTACTTTTTGCAAAAACGAATGTGTGTACTTTTTGATAGTGTTTTTGTAAAAGTTCTAACAAAAAGTTCTAACGGAATTCACAGCATCGTCATTGTCCACGTTCGTGTATAGGATAAGCGCGTCGAATCTTGCATAAGAATCATCATCAGGTAATTCACAGCAATCCGAAGCTGTATGAATCGTCGCCACAGCGCGCAGTAAGCACGCGACGCGTGCGCTAGCTGGTGCGCTACTTTCTAGGGAGTCCATAAACGGCAGTTCGGTAGAGGATGAAGTGAATGAAACGCCGCAACAACGTCGCAGTCAATCAAGTAAATCACTGTCAGTTCAAAAATCTATCAATCTATCCTGCGGAAGTTGAGAGATGGAGAAGAACTGATAAAAAAGAAGAAAGTGGAAGCGCGCGTGTCTCAGGTGTGCTGAGACCAGCCTTCCTAAGGCGAGGTGGGCGCTTGAGCCCTAGATACTTCTTTTAAAATGTTGAAACCCGGTTCTGAGGTAACTTGGATTTTGAAACGAAGTTGACCAGCAATAAAGTCAGAATAGGATGCCGGATGAGGTTGGAGAAGTGCATCACGGGTCGGACAGCTCGACGTGAGTGGAGATAAAGTCAGAAAATTGAGCGCCGTTTTAAAGCACGTCAGCGACCGAGAAAAATGAGCAAAGGGGCGGAGATTGGAGAATGACATGAAAGACGTATATAGGTCTCAAGCCTGTCTAGAAAACAATAACTAGCAACTGAGACAAAGAAAATGAACCCAAATTCCGAATTCTACAGTGTACCCTTTCATGGCCGTATGGTGGCAAGCTCTGTTCGGCATGGGCTCCCTTCTAGGGCCCTTTCGAAGTTTTCTCATCATTCTATTTTTCTCTACAGTTGGTTGATGCTTTGTTATATTACTTGTGCCTTACTGCCCAGCATACGTAAAAGCGTGACATGTTTCAAACGTCATTTGTGCTGAAGCATTCAATGAAAGGCCTCCAACTTCACGCTGAGCTTTGGACAGAAATCTAGGTAAACAGACAGAGCTCTTAAGAAGGTTACAAAAATGGAGACCAAACCAGCTACTGGAACCTCACCAGTAGCAGTCGTCAACGCTGCGCGAAATTTAGTGGAGATGGTGCCAATACTTATCCTAAAACTAGTCCTCGAGCAGTGTGAACCGCAGAACACATTGCAGGCGTATGGTGCAAAAACGGCTGCTGCTCTCACTTAAAGGCCAGCACTAAGAGTGAAGCAGACGAAACAGATTGCAATATTCTTTGGAAAAGGGTCCCCAAAGCTAGACTGACTCCGCAAAAACGGCACATGACTCGCCTAACGCGAAAACGCCGCGTCACAGATGGCAGCGCCAGGCCTTTCCCCGGACAGTTCGACGTGGCTGGGGATAAGGTCAGAAAATTGAGACCGGTTAAAGCGACCAATAAAAATGAGCAAAGGTGCGCTGGAGATTAGAAAATGAGATGACAGACGTTGGCGCCAGCACCTGCAGCGAAGACTCAAGATGTCTGATGCAAATTGTTAGTTTTATTCAAGGAATCAAAGGGAGCGTGAGTAGAGTTCATATTCTAATCTAGGATGTCGAACCTGGTTCAGGTAGATTAACGCAAACAGTTTTCTGTTTGCATTCACTGAAATAGCTGCTGGGTGTCTAAACGCTCCTCTGGAACGAGGAGGGGATTGTTTACAACGGGAGCTACGTATGGCTAACAAGGGAGGTCGTTCAGGCCGTGGTGAGCTTTTTCAAAGCGATTTATTGCATGTTTTAGGAGTCCATACAAGGGCCACACAGATGGGTTTCATTTTTGCTAAACGTTATTGGGCATGTCAAAAAATGAATAAAAACAAATCTCTTAAAATACGCAAGTTTTATCATCTCATTCGCATCTGTTTTAGCTGTAAAGCAGATAACATAGAGTTTATAAAGTGTTCCTCAACTAGGCATGAAAAACAATATCGAATAAGGTCGAAATTGAACTGTTTGCTTTGCATACAGTGAGGTACACTGCAGTTTCTTTAGGGTTTATGCAGCATCCCTTCGCGCTCGCAGTGGCCATTTAGAGCCACGCTGCCACCAGATCACGTCGGCGCCATAGATAATTGTCAGAATCGTGATCAGGGCCATTGATTACCCCTGTTTGAGAGGTTTCGGCGAAAAAAAAATTTTTCGAGTTTCTTTAGTGGTCATGGACCTGACCGTTTGGATGGCAGTGACAGTCGAACCCTCCGTTGAGTATCCCTGGCAGACGAACCGCCAGTAAATTTTCATTTCTTGCCCCTCAACTTACAGTAGGTCTTCATAGAACATCTTGCTAGCTTCGAAGCCACTAAACGAGCATCCTGGATCTTTCTTCACTTTTACCGTCTATGCTTTCGAGGAAGTTGGTTACCACTTGCTTGAAGAAAGGTTTTTGTTTCTCATATCAAGGATATGAGAGGAGTGCAGTGTTGTGCGTCACTTTTGGTAGCACGAGAAAGCCTTGCACCAAATTAGCGACACATTGCGCCATATTCAAAAATGAGTGTCGTGCCCATGATCAGAGCATCGGATAACCGCTGTAACCCAAGTTTCATGAAGAGTTTTTTCGATAGTATTTCGCGAGCGCAATAATTGAGCGAGGCCTATTTGTGAACCGTTCCCGCATGGAATGTGCCTCCAAATGGCGTATATCCGGGTCATACACATAAAGGGGCATACAGGAATACAAGAAACAAGAAATGTGAAAAATGCAAAAACTGTGTCGGTGGGGGGATCCGATCCACAAACCCACCGTACGTGAGCCCGTCGCACTATCTACCACACCATCTGCCACTGCGACACTAGTGATACACGACCTGTTGAAGAGATGAGCGCAGATGACCAGGAAACTCCAATGCAGCTTACCGCACGCCAAGTAGACCATTTGGATTTTGACCTTATTTTGCGCTGTTCTTCATGCCTGCTCAAAGAATACTCTACATACTATACCCCGTCAGCGCTACAGCTAGAATAGAGGGGAATAAGGTGGTTTGAAAAGCCCATTCTTTTCGAATTGTTTTTGACCTTTTTCTGACATTCCCAAAACCGTTTAGCAAAAATGAACCCCATCGCTGTGGTCCCCGCATGGACCCCTACAACATGCAACAAACCGTTTTGAAAAAGCTCACCACGGCCTGAACGACCTCCCTTGTAAGATTACTTTCATCTATTTTGCTCTCCATTTTATCGTTATCTTTACAGCTCTAATGAGGTGAGATCACCCAGTGTCAACCGGACCCAGATGCAGTACAGCGAACACTGCAGTGAACTACACGACAACCAGCAGAAACAAGTAAATGTCACTTCCAGTACGAAGTAAGGCAATTATGGAGCTGCTCGGCTTGGGGAAAAGGGAAGGAGTAGGGCCTAGTGCACACCTGCAGCCTGTTCCACCAGACAATAATAGAAATGGTATCATACGCCAAGTTGACGACTGATGGCTTGATGGATTTTTCTATGCTAACGCTACAAGGAGCGGTTACTTTCTATTAGAACCTATCCTGTCAATATGCGGTATTCCACCATAGTAAAAAAGACAAATCTGATGTTCATCGATGTAATTATAATCAGGCACTAATGTAATGCCAATTACTGAATATTGAAGAAACACTTCTGTGGCACAGAAGTCCCGAACGGAACAGCGCCCCAATTTCGTTCGTGGATATTGACAATCATCAAAAGATCATCATTCTTACCTGTCCATCACCTGCTGACCTGACAAACGCGATATGTTCGAGTACACGCCGAAGCTGTTGGAGAATCGCCCGCAACACTGACCAACTGGAAGGAAACGGATTATTCTAAAGTCCCACAAATAAGTCTGCGAAGTAAGTCTGCACGGCGTCGTGACTGTCCTGCGCACTTATCCACATGAGGCGACCTTGCTAGCTGGACACTGTGGAATGCCAGGAAAGGAGAACAGGACACAAGAAAATGCGCATAAAGGAAAG